AAAAAAAAAAAAAAAAAAAAAAAAAACAAATGCTTTCAAGCAATATAATTAAATTTCTTTATGGGTCTATAACATGTTTAATCCAAATAATAAGGCATTGTCTCTAAAAGTATGTATTTTAAAAAATACTTTGTGTGATGTTTTTGCCTGTGGCACTTACATAGGATTTATATAAATTAGAGAGAGTAGAGAATTTTAGAGTTTCATATTATATAGTTGGGGCAGAGGAAAGAATGGCATTGGGTAAGAAAGAGATGATTATGTGGTATTCCAGGGGTGGTATTGGGGAAGGGTGGTGTCAAGGTAACAAAGTAACAATGAATGCTTTTTTTTTTTTTTTTTTAAAGACAGAGTCTCACTCTGTCACCCAGGCTGGAATGCAGGGGCGTGATCTTGGCTCACTGCAGCCTCCGCCTCGTGGGTTCAAGCAGTTTTCATGCCTCAGCTTCCCAGGTAGCTGGGACTACAGGCGTGCACCATCATGCCTGGCTGATTTTTGTATTTTTAGTAGAGATGGGGTTTCACCCTGTTGGCCAGGCTGGTCTCTAACTCCTGACCTCAAGTTACTTGCCCACCTCCGCCTCCCAAAGTGCTGGGATTACACCCACTGTGCCTAGCCGATGAAAGTTTCTTTACAAAGAGAATATTCATTTCTTATTTTTATTATCAGACTAAAGGGAAGGGGAATAAGAACTGCTTGGATTGCAGAATGCTCTTACAGACTGTTCTAGGCAATAAAACTTGCTTAGAAAAGCAAGCCACACATTCTGTAGGCAGCATCCACACATTGAACTCTGACATTGGTTTCTGCAACAACAAGAAGGTGTGTGTTCTCTGGATTTCAGAAATTGAAATAGAGCCTGTGAATATTGTTAACTTCTGTGCTGGCCATGTGGTTTTAAAATGGACATTTAGGTTCTTCACCAAACCACAATCCTATCCAAGCTGATATTGTGGTTTTCTTCAAACATACAACAGGAAGTGGAGACTAGCATTGTGACCACTCAATAAACATTAGGATACTGATCACAAAATAAATAAAACAAAGCAAATTTCCGTTGAAGAAGACCACACAGTGACCATTTCTAACTACAGTGAATCTAAGAAAGAATGAAAAGATGTATGTTTAGATCCTAACTTTAAAGTCTGCGGAGGTTGGGTTCCCATTGCCCCACTCCATTTCCTCTTCATTTAAGAAAATTCGGTTAATATTTAAATAACGTAATTAAGGATTTACTGTTCTCCCCTTAAGTCTTGCTTTGCTATTCATAATGAGGGAAAGATAGAAGAAAAATACCTTTATAAATAATTTATTCAAAACAGAAATTTTGCTTGTTGAAGATTCTGTTAAAAAGGTGATCTTTAGAATTAGCAACATCTTTCAAATTTAAGATCCCAGCTTACAACAAGCATGTTTTCATTTTGAAGAGTTTTGGCAGAGAAAAAAGGTGATGGGAAACAACTGGTATAAGATTTGAGAAAAAAGTTAAAATATACTACATTTCCAGTAAACAAACCCAAACTTTCTTCTTTCTTGGAGGAGCCTTTTTAAAATTGCCTAATTCTCAAGTGAGAGGGTGTGGGAATTGGAAAGAAAGTGCTAACTCCAGAAATGCATATGTTGGCTGGGAATACATCAGTAAAAATTATCCTACATTAGGACAAAAAAAAAAAAGTAAGACATAAAGGCTGAAGCCCTGTAATTCACACGTATCAACCAATAATAATAATACCTGCAATCCCTTATTGAACTCTTCAGGCATTGGGCTGAGCGCCCTGTGTGTATAGGTAACACCCTAGTGGGTTAGGAATTATTGCCAGGTCACAGGTGAAAAGACAGAGAGAAGTGAACATACATGCCCAAAGTCATACTGTTAGTGGTAGATCTGGAATTTGAATCTAGACCTTAACTTCCATGCACACATGCATTCTTTCAACTGTCCCTGTGTCAAATGAAGCACACCTATTTTTTTCTCATATCTCATGCCAGTTGAAGACTTCCCATACCTAGTACAATTTCATGTTGACACGAAAGATGATGAAAATTATTGAAATAATTTCAACAGTTTTCCTCTGACACAAGGTTCATCACATATCCTCCTCCTCCATGCCTTCTCCAATATTTCTAATGGTAGTTTTCTAATTGCATTCCAAGAAATGACATTGATTTGAGTTTATGCATCTGCAAAAGATCCAATCACAGCAGCATGTGGAAAACATTATGGTTAAGTTGACTTCTTTATTTATTTATTTGAGACAGAGTCTCATTCTGTTGCTCAGGATGGGGTTCAGTGGCATTATCTTGGCTCACCGAAACCTCTGCATACTGGGTTCAAGTGATTCTTGTGCCTCAGCCTCCTGAGGCGCTGGGGCTACAGGTGTGTACCACCACGCCCGGCTAATTTTTATATTTTCAGTAGAGAGGAGGTTTCACCATGTTGGCCAGGGTGGTCTCAAACTCCTGACCTCAAGAGATCCACTCACCTTGGTCTCCCAAAGTGCTGGGGTTACAAGTTTGAGCCACTGAGCACAGCCTAAATTGACTTTAATGAAAAGTTTCCATGCTGTTTTTTCATTAATTCTCCTGTAGCTATTTGGAGACTTTGCTTAATCTCATGATTTCAGTACATTGTTGACTTGACTGTTTTCTGAAAGTGCAAAATAATAGATCACTTCCCATTAATTAGATTGCCTGTAAATTACATTAAATAACCTGTTTTCACTGTGATAATTTAAAAATTTTAAAATTTCAACTGTTTTATATGAAATATGCTCCTTTCAAGGAACCAAAAACATTCTTCAGATCGACTTTAGAAATCTTTTTCTTTCTTTTTTTTTTTTTTTTTGAGACAAAGTTTCACTCTTGTTGCCCAGGCTGGAGTTCAATGGCAGGATCTCGGCTCACTGCAACCTCTACCTCCCAGGTTCAAGCGATTCACCTGCCTCAGGCTCCTGAGTAGCTGGGATTACAGGTGCCTGCCACCATGCTCAGCTAATTTTTTTTTTTTTTATTTTTAGTAGAGAAGGGGATTCCCCATGTTGGCCAGGCTGATCTCGAACTCCTGACCTCAGGTGATCCACCTGCCTTGGCCTCCCAAAGTGCTAGGATTACACAGTGCCTGGCCAATTTTAGAAATCTTAAACATTGAAATCAAAGTTGTAGAAATATGTAACACTATATGAATACTTAGTAACATTTTTTGGAATAGTTACTATGCTAAGCTCTTGCATGCATTATTTCATTTAATTCTCACCACAATTCTGTGAAGTAAGCGTTATTGTATCTCATCAAATCTAAGATGCCTTTGGTTTAAAATATTATGCACCACTAAGAAAAAAATGCCACCAACGGAAACTGTAAGATGCCACCAATTGTAATACAACCCCAGTGTCAATGATACCAAAAAATACATGCATCTTACGATCCATGAGTTCAATGGCATTATCACTGTTTTACATCTGAAGAAACTGAGGCATAGAGAATTCAATAATTTGCCAAAGATCATGTAGCAAATAGGAGCAGAGCTGGATCTGAGCCCTGGTCTCTCTGACTAGATAGGTCTTGTGTTTGTAACTGTTGCATTTGTGCTTTCATAAGTGCTTTCATTAAGGGATATGGAGGTATTTAGAAATGAAACCTTACTGGATGTTTTAACTATACTTGACCTATTAAAATCAAGTTGGAATTGCCTTTCTAAAATTACGCACAATCAGAAATTATAATTGAAGGTCACTTAACTAAAGTGGAGTCAAGAACTTAGGGCCAAACACACTATTATAAAAACAGAAAGGACTTGAAGAAACATTTCACAAAAGGGTAGACTATTTACTGTTGGTAAAGATAAAAATGAATGCAGATACTCACTATTGGTGAGGGCTTGGGAAACCAACACTCTCTAAATTTGTTTAAGGAACCTCTAAAATTGAGGCAGCATAAGTTGACATACTTGCAAAGTGCAAAATTTCATTAGGTATCAAAATATGCTTACTTTTGACCTCAGCATTTCACAACTAAGAATATATCTGGGCCGGGCACAGTGGCTCACACCTGTAATCCTAACACTTTGGGAGGCCAAGGGGGGAAGATCACTTGAGGTCAGGAGTTCGAGACCAGCCTGGCCAGCATGGTGAAACCCCATCTCTACTAAAAATACAAAAATTAGCTGGGCATGGTGGCATGCGCCTGTAAACCCAACGGGTTGTTTCAAATGTTTCATGACAATAAAAACACTTCAGTGAACATCTCTGCACATTCATCAGATGTACTTGTTTGACCATAACCTTAGGATATATTCTTTTTATTTTCAACAATAAAAAACTGGGTAAATAAATGTTGGTATTCTCATTCAGTGAAAATTAAGCTAGTATGAAAAACAATTATCTAGACCCATATTTACTGACATCGAAAAATGTCCATTTTTTAAAAATAAAGCAGCTTATAGACAATATACATTTGCTTAATGAAGAACTGCTCAGAGATAATATTCATTAATTTTGTTACTCTCAAAAACCAGAAACAAAGAGGGTAATGAGAATATGTCAGTATTTTTATGCTATCAAGGAGACAGGGATACTCACATTTTTATCCTAGACTCTGGAATGAGTTGCTTCCCTCTCTGATTTCTTCATCTGTAAAATGAGAGAGTAAAAAAATAGATTAAAATCTTTCCAGTTTTAGATTTTAAATACATGTTCACTAACATGTAGAATTAAATATGATATGAGAATGTGTTGGATCCTGTCCAAAAGTGTGCTGGCTAACAGAGAACCAACATGTTAGGGTGTGATCAGCCTGGGGCGGTGCTGAGCCCCGAGCTGTGAAAGCGTTCTGCATGGAGCAGACTTTGCAGTTCTGTTCTTAGGACAGTCTAGTAGGTAAAATGAGACCAGCACTGAGACAGAGGGAAATTCTTGCAGATAATTGTTTTATACCATGTCAATGAAAAAAACTTTAACTGTGCCAGGATTCAGAATGTGACAAGGTTTTAGAATCTACCAAAATTCTACTGAAACGTGGCTATGACTAAAACAAATAAGATGCTTCTGTAAACAGATCGTGACTTGTCTGTTAGCCCCTTTGAAAACAATGTGCATGTGATTTATTACGGATTATAATTACCTCGTGAAGTAATGGGATTTGTGCAGTTTTTGTCTGTCTGGATAAAAACCCTTGGCTGTGTCTTCTAACTTGGTGAAAAATCACAGCAACAGAGGCAGCCCAAGGATTTTAAATCATCCTGTGCATACTCTCATTTTGTTTTTTTGCTGTGGCTTTTACCTACTAGAGAGGATAATGCATTGTCCCCAGGGAATTAGAGACTGTCATATATGCCTTATAGAATACAACGGAGATTAAGTAATATACACACATATGAAGTTATATGTACAGTAATTGACATTAGGTGCTCCATTAAACAATGAAATGCCACAGTGTACCAGTTCTTCAGGACATGTTGCCATGGATACCCAGTGTGATGGAGATGGGGAAAGAGTTGCTGAGGAATTCAACCATTTCATCTTGAGGTGGACTGAAAAATAAACTGCCCAGAGACAGGAACCATGAAACCAGTCAAATATACAAGTAGTTGTTTTCAAAACTGTCAAAAAAAAAAACGGAAAACATGTTTGAAAATGAGTGCCAATTAATAACAGTTATTTTATAGTTTCTGTTTCATTAAGCCAAAGGGAACGGGCAGGGTTCTTTATTTCAGCTAGGAAATTATGTGATATATTAGATATTTACAGAAGAAAGTATTTTAATCAAAGCTGAATAAAATTCAGAAAATCATGTGTAGAAATATAGAAACATGGCAGTAGGCTGGTAGGCAAGTTCTCTCAGGGTCTGCTCAGGTGCACTGAGTACTGTGAACCTCAGGTGGCCTTGGGGTTGATGACAAAGCAAAGATTTCAGAAAGGAGCAAGTTTTAAGAATGAATGTGATGCAATAGAAGCAGAGGCAAGGATGACAGCTAACTGGTTTGATGTGATTTTGTGGTTTGTAACCAGGACTAAGTGTCTGATTATTTGATTTTCTAGAGACATTGCTGATTTCATCACTAACCTTCTCCCAAGAAATTCTCATCTCTTATCAAAAACAAGGTCCCTGGAATGAAGTGTTTTTCCCTGGGAATCAGTGTTTTTCTAGCTGTATTCTCAGCCATGTAGGTTTTGTTGATCATAGATATTTTTGAATTGATGCTTTCTTATCTCCATCTCTCCTTGCCTTAATTCAAGTCATACTTATGACTCCTTTTCAGCCTTTGGTTATTCCCCCTTTCTGATTCATCTGCCATATGGACCTCAAATTAAAAAAAAAAAAAAAAAGGAGGAGGAGGAAAGAAAAACAGATCAGAACATGTCATTTCTGCACTAGAACCTTTTTCTGGTTCTCCATTACCTATAGAAAAATTCTAATCCTTAATATGGCATTTAGGCCCCTTAAAAAAGTCACCCCCAAAAAAGCTTTTGTCTTCTCCTCCGCTGCCTCCCCACCCCTTGCACCCCATACAGGCTGTGTGTCAGCTTCAAGAGAGGGCAGAACCTCTCTGGATGAGCAGCGTGCTTTCCCGACTGCAGCTGAAATGCGTTTCTACCCCTTCCCTGCCCCTCCTTCAAAGCCCTCTAGCCCCTCCTCACCTCCACCCAGGAGAGTTAAAGTTTTTCTCTGGGTTTTCCACGTCTGCCAAGCATTTGTCTTTGTTGCTTTTTGTAAGCTTTTCCCCTCCCTTGTCAGACATGTAGTGTAGCGTTAAAGGGACGGGTTCAGTGTAATGTAGTGACTGGGAAAGCAGGCATAGAAGTGGTTGTTGAATTTGAATCCATCTCAGCTGTACCGCTTACTAGCTTTGTGACCCAGGGCCAATTATATAACCACTAAATCTCTCTTTCTTCATCTGCAAAATGAAGTTAACCTTGGTAGCTTGTTAAGAGAATTAAAAGAGAACACACAAGAAATGTTAAGCATAGTGCCTAGCAGGTAGTATTAAATAAATGTTAGCAATATATACTGTTTCTTTTTCTCTCTTCCACTTCCATGCTCCCAACAGTACTTTACATAACAGTAGGTACTCAAAATATTTATTGATTTAAAAATGTGTCTCACTCCTACACAGTCCTTCAGTGTTTCTCTTCTTAAGTTGGTGATAGAGATATATAAAATTTAGGGAGTAATCTTTCTAAATAGTTTTCTAAACTTTACATATTTCAAAATGGGAAGTATGGTGAAGAATGTGTAATTTTATTTAGTTCGAAAATTTTAGAAGATGGTTTAGTAGCAAAGCAGTGTACACATCAGAGTCCTTTATCCAGAGAAGCTTGTATCAGTGTTTTTATCTGTGGTGATAATAAGTGTGTAAGATTTGAAAGCAGACTGGGTAACATGTAGAGATGAGGTACAGTTTAGAAACTGTAGTTTCCAAATTAACACTAAGTTCTTGGAAGAAGCTTTCTCACAATAACTGTAACTGAAAGGGCAAGTGAAATGAGAGAAGAGGCCAGTTTGATTTAGAGAGTGAGAATCATCCAGGGACCATGGCATCTGTCATGTGTTAGAATTTTAAGTACAATCATAAATTAAGAGAGAGTTGAGAGCATACCTTCGTAGAGTTACAGAGGATACCTTCAGATAAGTAAGAAGGTATGCTCTATAACATTAATAATATATTTAAGTTGAACAGGAACTCACAAGACCAACCTTTCTAATTTTGGCTATGCTTCAAAGTGACCTGGTGGGCGTGTTAAAACACACATAGTCCACTACAAGGACTCTGATTCAGTAGTTCCAGGATACATCCTAGGCTCGTGTGTGTGTGCATTTTACATTTTTTTTCTTTTAAACATTCATGCCTTATATAGCAGGTCAGTGGACTGGCATTTGAGAACCACTGGTCTACCCTAGCCAGAGATTCTCTGTATGGGATTATTTTCTATATCATCTGGTAATCTGCATACTTTAAATACCTCTGGTGGTAGGAATCTTATGACACGCTTCTTCTTTTGCTTGGCTCTTGTTTTTTGAGTCAGAATTTCGCTCTGTCTTCCAGGCTGGAGTGCAGTGGCACGATCTTGGCTTATTGCAACCTCTGCCTCTCAGGTTCAAACCCAGCCTCGGACTTTGTAGTAGCTGGAACCACAGATGCATGCCACCACTCCTGGCTAAATTGTGTGTGTGTGTGTGTAGACAGGGTTTTTGCCTTTTCTTTTTTGCAAATACAGGGTTTCACCATGTTGGCCAGGCTGGTCTTGAACTCCTAACCTTAAGTAATCTGTCCATCTCGTCCTCCCAAAGTGCTGGGATTACAGGCATGAGCAACCACGCCAAGCCCAATGCTGTCTTTTAAAAGTCTTAGTTGGTCTTAGTTAGAAATTGCTTTCCTTTAACGCTGCCCATTGATTTTAGTACCATTCTCTGGAGCTGCATACATTGTAATATGTGATACTTCCTCCATGTGGCAGCCTAAAGATATTTGCAGGCAGCTATGATGCTCTTTTAAATTTTATTTTATTTAGGCTACATAGCCCTTTCCATCCTTATCGTGCTATAGTTTCAACTTAATGGTAATATATTAAGTACTTAATATATGCCAGAACTGAGGCTGGGCATGGTGGCTCATGCCTGTAATCCTAGCACTTTGGGAGGCCAAGGTGGGTGGATCACAAGATCAGAAGTTCAAGACAAGCCTGACCACTATGATGAAACCCCCGTCTCTACTAAAAGTAGAAAAATTAGCCAGGCATGGTGTCAGGCGCCTGTGGTCCCAGCTACTCAGGAGGCTGAGGCAGGAGAATTGCTTGAACCTGGGAGGTGGAGGTTGCAATGAGCCAAGATTGTGCCACTGCACTCCAGCCTGGATGACAGAGCGAAACTCCATCTCAAAAAACAAACAAAAAGCAAATATATGCCAGAACTGTGCTGGATCTTAAGTCAAACTGAGAGAAAGAAACTTGTAAATATCTTCAGAACAGAGGCAGTGATTTCAGGTGTGGGTTCTGGCGTCAGACCATGTTGAAATCCCTAGCACCACCACTTAACTAGCTTAGTCCTCAGGCCGGCTCTTTAACATCGTTGTGCCTTAGTCTCCTCATTTCTGAAGTGAGGACAACAGGGCCTATCTCAGGACAATGCTTGGCACATAGTAAATGTTCAACACATTTTAGCTAAAATATATACTAAGGGTTATAATTGTGATAGAAGAAAAGAGGATGAATTACTCTTTGGATGGCAAAGTTTATCTGGTCCTGAAATAAAAATATTGCAATAAAGTTTCCATATACAAATTCGGCAGATTTGTAAACACTTTTATAAGCACATACAGAGCATTTAATTATTGTAGAGTTAAATAATTTATTCAATGTCCTATTCAACACTTCCATTAATAATTTAGATAGCATCTGATTGACTCTGAGTCTCTATGACAGTCAGAAAAGTAATTGACATGTTAAAAGGTGCAATAAGAGTAAGAACCTGAAAAGATTTCAACAGATCAGAGCAGTGGTCTAACAGATGGAGATGAAAGTCCTGCATGGAGAGTCTCGAAAGCTGAGGATTGATAGAGGATGAAGAAGATGTGGCTTAACAGAAGGGCATTTTATATTTGGGGCTTTTGATGAGTTAAAATGTGATACAGTTGCCAGAAAAGTTAATGTGATTTTCAAACTGTGATGGGAAGAATTTAGAATCCTGAATGAGGGAGAACATACCCTGTTCTTCTCTGTTTAAAGTTTGACATCTTTTCTTCGTTTGCTCTTATTAACTGGTTGTTTGGCAAATCAACCATCCTCTCTGGGTTTCTCCACTTATCAAATGGGGGTAATTTCTGCCCAGTTAATATTCCTCTGAATTGTAAATGTCAAATATAGTGAATGCAGGAGGTATCATTATCACCCTAGACAACTTTGTCACATTTTTTCATATGCTTCAAAACCCTTTCCCTTGATGTGAGTGACAACTTAGTATCACCAGTTTTTCTTAACCATCTATAAATTTAACTGAATTTAAATTAACTAAAATCTTAGAGATTGTAGCATATAGATTATTACTAGACTTGCTTTAAACACTCAGTAGAAATGTGAGCATCAATGTGGTTGGTAAATAGTGAATTATTTTTCACTTCTTTTTAGTTTATATATTCATTGACAAACCTGTGTGCTTCGCTGACTAAAATGTTGTAGAATAATTTGTACCAAATGCCTTAAAAACATCAAAGCTAAAATTAGCTGTAACAAAAATAGCATGGGCCACCGTGTTGAATAGCCTTTTAGGGAGAAAGGATACCCCAGGAATATAGGGAAAGAACAGAGTGGTGATTTCTTTTTACAGCATTTGCTGATGGCACGATGGCATGTGATTTTTGGGGTGTGGGGCTCCTTTTTCCTGTTCACTAGTGTTTCTTTTTCTGACTTATTCACTGTCATAACAACAGAAAATGCCTAATATGGAGATCAAGATCCTGCAGATTACAGCTCTTTCTAGTTATGTTTTAAACCCAAACATGAAAATTAGAATTCTTTTACACATAATCTGACAGTTTTCCATCAGCCTTAAATTGGCATTTTGGATTGTGTTCTCTGTAGTGCCTGAAGAGCCTCAGTAGAGAAGGAAAGAAGCAGAGGGTAAGAAAGAAAGGAAGATTCTAAATGACAGTCTTTTGAATAGTGCAAGTTCAATCCCTAAAACAAAAAGCAAGATCTTTTTTCCCCTAAATAATGTGCTCTCTGGCTTCGCCTCTCATCTTGAGGAACATGAAAGAGAAAGTAAAAGAGGTGACCCAAATCACAGAGTGCCTTTGATAGGAGAAATTCAGCTGTTTTGAACACTTACAATCAAAGGAAGTGGTTTCCCTAATTACATGAACTATGTGAAATCTCTCAGAATAGCTCTTCCACCCCAGGATTCCTTGCACTTTAGAAGTTTGCATAAAAGCTCACATAGAGAATCAGATGCAAAGTGTTTGATTCAGATTTTATTAGGCAGAAGAGTGCCCACATCCATCCTGCAGTTTGCCAGCTGCTTAGGTTGGGACCACTATACCTGGTTTTGATGTGGTCGTCTTTCAAACCTGCAACATTAAGATCTTTGTTCTATCCTTTCCTTGCAAGAAGCACCACTTTTTAGGGAGAGTAGTGAGGAAAATTTCTGGAAGATTGGTCTTCTCAATTTCTCTCCCAACCTAAAAAGGATCGATGGCTGTGTTTGTGAACTTTACGTGGGAAAACATGCTCTCCTGTGTTTATAGCTGGCGAGTGTTCAAGTGTTATATTCTATTAAGCTCTTTAATCTGTTTAAAAATATTTAAATGTCACAATGACTTACCTTAAAATTTATACATGCAAAATTCCCCATTTACCGTCAGGATCTAGACTAGGAATCTAGCAAAACACTTGGACTAAAGAATAATAGTGATTATGGCTTATTAGTTCTTCTGTACCTTGGTAGTCACCTTGTTATTGAGAGATATAGTATAGTGTAGATGTGCACAGAAGACAATTATAAATACCCTACATTCTCTGTTTGGGAAGGCAAGCGTAAGTGTGAACTCAGAAGACAGAAGCATCCATTTTAATTTAGATGTCAGCTCGAGAAGATTTTTATTTTTCTGGTTGAGTAATTTTATGAGTAAGAGAAATTGTCTGGTATGTAGTAATATATGAGTAAAAAAGTGTCCATGTTTTATTTTTGTTTTCTCTCTTTTTTTCCCTTTTTTCTGTGAATAGGTATGTTGCTCTTACTGTATTTTATAAAATATTCTTTTGAGAATCGTGTGTCCTAAAAGAAATGGGAATCTATGAGCAGAAATGGAAGGAAATTTTATTTGTACAGTTTTTACAGTACTGGCTTGAATTGTAACCCACATAAAATTTCCTAATACTATTGCTGTTGACATGTGGGCAGCAAGATTTAAGTAACAGAAAGTAAAAGTGTTCTTCAGCCAACCAAGCTACAAAAGTCTATTTGAACAATTACCTAGCAATTTCCTTCTACTTTAACCTTCCTCATTTATTCCAGGTAAGTAGCTTATTTGAAAAGACACATCGATTAATAAATATTTGTGATTTTTTTTTTTTGAGACAGAGTCTCACTGTGTTGCCCAGGCTGAAGTTCAGTGACGTGATTTCGATTTGCTGCAACCTCTGCCTACCGAGTTCAAGTGATTTTCCTGTCTCAACCTCCCAAGTAGCTGGGACCAGAGGCTCCTGCCACCATGCCCAGCTAATTTTTTTTGGTATTTTTAATAGAGACAGGGTTTTACTACGTTAGCCAGGCTGGTCTTGAACTCCTGACCTCATGATCCACCTGTCTCAGCCTCCCAAAGTGCTAGGATTACAGGCATGAGCCACCATGCCTGGCAAATATTTATGATTTTAAAAGGATATTTAAAATCTGAAAGTGTCCATGATTATGAAATATGACTTTTTCTATTTTGTGTGTTTTAATCTCCTAATTATGGAGGTGTCAAGGTTTGGATATGTTGTGCATAGTTGCTAGCAATATAATATGGGGAAGATTTGAAAGATGATGAAGGATTGATATTGTGGTGTAAGGTTTTCGCTTAATAGGTGAGTTTTCACATAATTGTGAAAAGGTCTGTTCTCTCAGAAATGTAATACAGTACTCAAACTGAAATTTTAATAGCTATTTAGTCCAACAGCCCCAATCCCTCATTTTAACAGTCAGTAATTTGAAGTTCAGAAAGATGATGTTGGGTAGCAGTAGATTCAGCTCACGGGCCCAGGTCTTTGGTTTGCTGGTTTGGAGCTCTAACACACTGTCAGATTCCCACTGTGTCTATTGCTTTTTTTTTTTTTTTTCTTTTGAGATGAAGCCTTGCTCCGTTACCCAGGCTGGAGTGCAGTGGTGTGATTTCAGCTCACTGCAACCTCCTCCTCCTGGGTTTAAGCAGTTCTCCTGTCAGCCTCTTGAGTAGCTGGGATTACAGGCGTTCACCACCATGCTCAGCTAATTTTTGTATTTTTGATAGAGATGGGGTTTCACCATGTTGGTCTGGCTGGTCTCAACCTCCTGACTTCAGGTGACCTGCCTGCCTCCGCCTCCCAAAGTGCTGGGATTACAGGCGTAAGCCACCACACCTGGCTGTCGGTTGCTTTTTAAATGACACTCAACTGCCTACTGGATGTTTGTGACGAGAGAAGGTTTGATATTCCTGAATGATAGCCATTTATTTGGTAACACTTTAACATTAGCACCAAAAGGTCATTTTGTTTTCCTTCTTCATCTGGCACTTCTATCAGATAGGGCCATAGTAACACATGAATCACTGTTCTAGATGAAGATCATAGCTAAATCATTTCAGACTGTGAATTCTATATCTGTTGTTAAAAGTCCATAGGCTGTGTGGAAGTGGGTTCAATAATCCTCATCATTCAGAAGTTCTGCTTAATGGCTGGCTTAAGTAGCTTTTGTTAAGGTTTGAACTCGGTATCCTCAAATGATAATAAATAATGTTACTCAGTGCATTGCCATTTCTAAAGCACTGTTACTTACATTCTTTCCTTGTAAATGATGAAGCAAGTGCGTATGATTCCCAGAATCACACTGGAGAAGGACAACACTTAATCTTAGGTTTTTCTGGCTTTGGACCAAGTGTTTGCTCTACCCGTAATAGAATGTCAGCTTTGGAAAGGACCTTAATTCACTGTATTTCCGATGCCCTCATGTCCTCTGAAACATTACTGCCACAAATGGGCATTTACCTCCTGTTTGAATTCTGATTGCTTATGAAGGAGAACTCACTAGCCTCCTGGACTAGTTCCTTTTGTCTTTGGGAAATTGATTAGAAAGTTCTTTGAGTTATTCTGAGTCTATACCACATGCGGTCTAACAACGCTTGTTTGGGCAAAGGATAAAAGGATGCATGTAATACTGTAATATGATTTTAAAAGCAACATTAAAATTATACTCTTCCGAAAACCCTTATAAAATGACATTTATTAAGTGCCTACTTTCCCCCTAATATCTTACTTATAACTAAAATCACTTCATTTATTTTAGCTTTTAGGCTTTCTGTGAATTTTTAAGTTCTTTTTCTTGCTGTGTGGAATCTCTTCCAAAAATAAAAAAAAAATGACCAGTGCTTACTTAAGTAAAGGAACCAATGTGGATATAGTAAACTAATTATTTTTTATGTTAAGGTAATACCTGTTCATTGTAAAATAAGAAATTTCAGCAGTATAAAAGCAGTTTTCCTTCCCTGCAATCCTACACTTTAAAATCATTAGTTTGTGAGTAACTTTCCAGATGTGTTTTTTCTCTGTATTTATAACTATTGCTAATGCTATTCTCACCATAAAAATGGATCATATGAAAAGGGTGGCATGAAGGAACCTTGTGATGAAATTGTCCTGTATCTTGACTATGGTAGTGATCACTTGAATGTACGTGTATGATAAAAATTATGTACAACTAAACACACACAAACAGAATGCATATAAAACTGGTAAAATCAGAATAAAGTTGGTGAATTGTGTAAATGTCAATTTCCATTGGGGGAAAGTAGGTAAAAAATATATAGGCTCTTGGCCGGGCGCTGTGGCTCACACCTGTAAGCCCAGCACTTTGGGAGGCCGAGGCAGGCAGATCACAAGGTCAGGAGTTTGAGACCAGCCTAACCAACATGGTGAAAACCCATCTCTACTAAAAATATAAAAATTAGCTGGGCGTGGTGGCATGCACCTGTAATCCCAGCTACTCAGGAGGCTGAGGCAGGAGAATTGCTTGAACCTGGAAGGCGGAAGTTGCAGTGAGCCAAGATCTGGCCACTGCACTCTAGCCTGGGTGACAGAGTGAGACTCTGTCTCCAAAAAATATATATATAGTTATAGCTATAGATATATAGGCTTTCTCTTTATTATTTTTATAATTGCATGTCAATCTATAATCATCTCAAAGAAAAAGCTTAAAACAACTAGATTATATATATATATATATATATATATATATATACACACACACACACATAATAAAAAGGTGTCTCAATATATAAGTTGCAAGTCACCTCACAACTTAGTTTTTTAACTTAGTACATTGAGGCAAAGAGCTACCACATTCCTTTTAATAATTTTTGTATTTTATAATTAAATAATATTGACTTCACTTTTTTTTATACTAAATTATATTTTGTCTAGTATTAGAAAAACTAGACATGTAAAGTAAAAACTTATTATACATATGAAGTTGTAATTAGCAGACAAAAGACTACAAAGCAGCTTTTATAATCATGTTCAAGAACTTAAAGGAAACCATAGTTAGAATGAGAGATCAGAATCAGTAATTCAGCAGGAAGATGGAAACTAAAAATTCTAGAACTGCAAAACTAGTCTCTTTAAATATAAATTGTACTGAATGGGGCTTAGATTGGGGAATGCAAAAAAAAGGTCAGCATATATGAAGACAGATTAATATAATTTATCAAATCTGAAGAACACAAAAAATATTTTAAAAATTGGATACTCAGTTACATATGAGACAATATGAATCTAATATACATTAATTAAATAACAGAAGGAAAGGGGGGGTGGATAGAAAATTATGGGAAGAAGTGATGACTTGAAGTTCCCCAACTTTGATGAAAACCATACACTTGTTCAAAAAACTGCAAGCAGGATAAATTTAAAATGAAAAACAAAAACACCACACTCAGTCACATCATATTTAAACTTCTAAAAATCAATGATGAAAAGAGAAATGTCAAAAGATTGAAAAAAAATGGCACATTACATAAAGGGAGGCTATACCAGTTACTTCTCACCAGAAACAATGGAGGCCAAATGGCAGTGGAAAGACACCTGTAAAATGCCGGGGGGGGGGGGGAGTTAACTGCTTGTTTAGAAATCAATACCCAGTTAAAATAGTCTTCAAAACTGAAGGTAAAGTAGAGACATTTTTAGGTAAATGAAAGCTGAGATAATTCACTGCCAGCAGATTTTCACTATAAGAAATGATAAAGTTATGGTTAATATGAGGGTAAATATAAATGATCATTTTAAAAATTCAGTTAATTTCTTTAAAAGACAACCAACAGCTAAAAGGTAAGTTGCAATGTTATGAGTTTCATAATGTATGTACATTAAAATATATAACACAGTGACATAAATGATGGGGAGGTGAGCAACATCTTACATTTTATATGTAGCACAAAATTTAATCTAAGTAGACTGTGAGAAAGATATATGTTGAATTCTTAGAGCAACCGCTAACTACCCCCACAAAAAAAAAAAAAGAGGTATAGCTAAAAAAGCCAATGGATGAATGAAAATGAAATACTAAGAAAAAAAATTGTTAATCAAAACAAAGGAAAGGAGAAACAGAGGAACAAAAAACATTTAAAAACCAAGATAGTAAACTTAAACCCAATAATATACATAATTACATTAAATATAAATGAATTAAGCACCTCAATTAAATAACAGAGATTGCTAGGCTGGATAAAAAAAACCCTGCATCTAACATTTTAACTCAACAGTGAAATATTGAATAATATTTCAGATTTAGACCCAGACATAATATAATTTCTGTTCACTGTTTTGTAGAGATCCTGGTCAGTGCATTAAGAGAAGAGAAAGAAACAAAAGGCATTAAGATTGGAGAGGAAGTAAAACTGTCTTTATTTGCAGATTAAATGATTGTTTACACAGAGAATCTTTAAAAATCTACAAAACAAATACTAAGACTGAACAATTTATTTAACAAAGTTACAGGAAACAAATTGATTATATTTCTATATACTAGCAGCAAAAATTTTAAAAACAAAATGTAGAAAACAATTTTATTTACATTTGCATTAAACCCAAAAAATAACATAGAAATAAATTCAACAAAAGACATACAAAACCTCTATGCCGAAAACTACAGAACATATCTGAGAGAAACTTGAAAAGACCTAAATAGATGGAGTGAGATGGCTCACGCCTATAATCCCAGCACTTTGGGAGGGCAAGGCAGGCCGATCACACAAGCCCAGGTGTTCAAGACCAGCCTGTGCAAGATGGTGAAACCCTGTCTACAAAAAAAGAAAAAAAGAAAGAAAAAAGGAAGGAAGAAAGAAAAATACAAAAATTAGCTGGGAATGGTGGCGTGCACCTATAATCACAGCTACCTGGGAGGCTGAGGTGGAAGGATTCATTGAGCCTGGGAGATCAAGGCTACAATGAGCCATGATCTCATCACTGCACTCTGGCCTGGGTGACAGAGCAAGACCTTGTCTCAAACAAAAAAGACCTAAATAAATAAAGAGATATGCGTTTTCCATAAGTCCAATGATATGACTCAGTATTAAAATGTTACTTTCCTCTAAAAATTGATTTGTAGAAAAAGTTGGAAGATTCACATTACCTGATTTCAAGACTTAATCCAAAACTCTAGTAATCAAAACAGTGTAGTGTTGGTATAAAGACAGAAATATAGATGCAACAGAATTTCAGATTTAGACCCAGACATATTATCCATTTAATTTTAACAAATGTACCAATGTAATTAAATGCAGAAAAGAAAATGTCTTAATAGTTTGGAGCAGTAGGATATATATGTACACATATAGTTTTATACACACACACACACACGCACACACATACTCTTATATATATTAATTTCTTTATACTAAATGCAAAAGCTAATTCAAGATTCAGAGTAAATCTAAATGTAAAAGCTAAAACTATAGTGCTTCTGTAAGAAAGCAAAGCTAATTGCATACAACCTTTGATAGACAGATATTCCTTAGACAAACCATAACAGGTACTAAAAATAAAAGTAAAAATTGGTAACTAGAGCTTCATCAAATCCAAACGTTGTGCTTATGCAAACAAATTGTTTAAAAAATAAAGACGCAACCCACTGACTGGGAGAACATATTTATAATGAGATATATCTGTCAAAGCACTTGCTTCCAGAATATTTAAAGAACTCCTGCAAGTCAATATTAAAAAGATAATGATTTTTTAAAATAGGTAGAGAATTAGAATAGTCATCTCACAAAAAGATAAATGAATAATCAGTTAAGCATGCAGGAAAAGTGTTCAACAACACTGATTAAAGATACCAAATGAAAACCACAGTGAGACCCATTTCACCCAGACTAGAATGGCTAAAATCTTAAAAACCAAAAACACCCAGTGTTGGTGAGAATATAGGTCAGCATATTCTCACATGTTTTGGGGGAGCGTGAAATGGTATGACCTCTCTGAGATGCTCTTTGCTGTTTCTTTAAAAATTAAACACCTTCCCTATGAGTCAGCAATTCAACTTAGAGGTATTTACCCAAGTGGAATGAAAACATATATCCAAAAAAGACTAGAATGAGAATATTTGTAGTAGCTGTTTATTATAGCCAAACATTGAGAACAACTCAAATATTAACAGGAAAATAGATAAACAATGACTGTTGATAAAACGGAATACTACTTAGCAATAAAAAGAATGAACTACTGATACATCTAACCCCATAGATGAATCTCAAAAACAAAATGTTGAGCAAACAAGGCTAAAAAGACTATATCATGATTCCACTTATGTGAAGTTCAATAAAAGGCAAAATTATCTATGATGGTGAAAGCAGAACAGAGTCCACGAGGGGTGGGTATTGAAGGGTAGACACATGGAAAGATGGAAATATTCTACATCTTGAGCAAGGTCATACATAGGTGCATATATTTTCAAGACTCTACCTTATTCACAAGGTCTGTGTATTTTATTGTATATAAATTTTACCTCAGTTAGAAGAAACAAAAACATTTCAGTGTT